AGTAGCAAAACAAAACTTAAGTCAGATCTAGAGAATGACAGAATTAGGACTGTCCACCTACTGACAATTTTCTTGAAGTTGATATTCATTGCACAGTTTTGTCTGAGTTTGAACAAAAACCTGCCTTCATCCTTTCACCACAATTTTTGAAGTGTAGAAATGTATACTTTTCCATTCTGTAAATCTTGTGCACTTGATTTTACCAGAAATCAAATGCCTCACATTGCTCATGATCTCAACAGAGGATAGGAGCCACTCAGCTGTCAGTCACACCCATCCTGTTTTGTACTCAGGATTGTGTTAATCACAAGGGCTTCAAGAGTAGCCCAGGTCCTCACAAGGTTTTCTGGAAACATCCAGACCTCATTAGCACGAACCCCCTACTTGAAGTTCTTTGTGGACATGTAGAGTTGTGTGTCTGCCTGCTTTGCTTTGCTTGCTGTAGTATTCCAATTAAGAGCCAGTGTTTTAATTAGCAGCATAATGTTATATGGTTGGTAGTTTAGGCTAGGGATAGAGACAATACCTTGGAATATACGTTCTTTTTTGAATATGAGAAAGCAAAGAATGATTTTCAGTAATGCAGATTCTTACCTAAACAGTACTGATCCTCTGTTGATGGTTTTCTGCTTGGTTGCATGTTAAATGATGCACGCTTTTTCTCACGGATCTGTGACAATGTGGACACTTTTATAAACCCAGGTGGAGCATGCCAACACGGTAATTGTGTCAAAGCCACATGCTTGTCTAGTGGGATAGCTGTTCACAGAAGCGTTCCTTTTGGTTGATGATAAGTAGGAAGTCTTAGTATGCTATATAACTATGCTAATGATGGATTTGGGGTCATTGTAATTAAAGATTCGTACAGTGAGCATCACTGTAGTTTAGGAAACCTTAGTTCTGGTTGTGGCTTTCCCTATCTAACTTTGTAATTTTGGGCAAATCTCCTAGTCTTCCTAGACTCTGTGTCTTTGCTCATAAAATAAACTGAGGATATTAGACTAGATAATTTAAAAAAACTTGTTCAGTAAGTAATTATTGGCCACCTTTTATGTGCCAATTGAAATGCTGGGCACATAACAGAAAAAAAAAGTCAGAAGATCTCAGCCCTCCTGGGGTTTTCACTTTAGTGAGAATGTCTGCTACCACTGCAGGACTTTCCATCTTCTGGGGTTCTATAGTTTAAAGGCATATTGACATTGAGATGCCAAGAGTTGTAGGCATAATAATTATGGAAAATGGACGTGCTCCAGTCATATTTTGGTAGTAATTTGTTCAAGAAACTATTTTATCAACAAAGATAATGTTTGGTTTGAAGCCCTTTGAATTCTCAAAACTATTTTAAGAAAGCCGGGTGTGTTGGCACACTCCTGTAATCCCAGCACGCAGGAGGCTGAGAGAGGTGGATTGCTATGAGTTCAAGACCAGCCTGGGCCTCATAATGAGTTCCAGGGCAGTCTCGACTCCATAGTGAGACCCTGTCTCAAATAAAAACAATAACAACAACAACAACAACAACAACAACAACAACAACAAGAAAACCTATTTTAAGAATGTGCTTATTTACTTATAATTATATCTTTGCTTATTGTTAAGTATTCATAATCCAAATAGCCACTTCATTGTTTTCTGTCTTAAAATTTCTATTTGCACGGACAACTCCAATCAGCCCCAAGGTTCTCAAAATTTAAACATGTTGTGAACACAGAGGAGACTGGTGAGGATGACTTTAGGAGACTCAACTGTGTGGTTTGTCTGTGCTCTTTATCTTTGTATTAGTACTTAGTTTTCAATTTCTGTACAATTATATGGCTGTGTAATAACTTTATAATATGATTTTCTCTGTGATAATCTATTTGTCAATCAAGGAGATGTGTATACATCTGTGTGGTCATCCACACAAGTCACTTATATTCCATTTATTATTTATGAAATGAAGATCATACCTTGTAGATGCTTTGAGGAGCAGAAATTATGTGCATGATATGTATGTACCACAGTAAGCTGTGAATGGTGATTCTAATGATTAAAATGTTACATAGTAGTGGGAACTTGTTTTATATTTCATTGCTTATAAAATATTTTGAACCCGATATCAGCTTTTTTATTCGAACCAGGCTATTTCTCACAATCAGTGTCCTTGTTGGAAGACATGATTTTGAAATTTAAATGCCTGGGAGTGGAGAGTAACATTGGCCATGTGGGTGTGATAGGTGCCTGTTTGTAGCATTACCATCAAGCTGGTTTCTGCTCCTGATCTTCCTGTCTCTCTCTGTATTGCTTCTAGCCCTCATCCCTTTTCCTTTGCCTGTTTCTTGCATGTTGGCAGTGATGAGGGTTCTTTTCGGGATTCTCTTGGACGAACCAACATTGTTTCTCTGTGCCTGCAGCTGTCCACTCATATGACCACAACTCTCTGTGACTTCTTGAATGCACCTCCAACCTCCTCAAAACTTGGGTGTCTTGTCACTTACTAGACTTCTCTACAGACTTCACAACTGCAGTGAATTCAAAATTCAAGCCAGGCCCATTTTTTCTGGTGTGCCCTTTTTCCATGGATAGTTCTACCATTGCCCTGGTCTCCCATGACCTGGGACTTTATTTGCTCTCTTTGGCTCTCTGTGTTCAGCCTAGACCCCAAGACATGTTCACTCTACATTTTTACCATGAAATTCATTTCTAATATTTTACCCCACTACTTTGTCTATTATAGTACAGGATTATGTCTACATTGTTGATTGCAGTAATCGCCTAGATATCTTTCTATTTCAGTCTTTTCTCTCACCCTATTCTTAATACTGGCTGTCTGAAATGAGAATGTTGATTACATTACCCATTTACTTGAAATGCTTGGGTGATGTCTCATCACCTTTAAAATAACTTCTAGAACCTTCAGACCTTGAGATGTCCATGTGGGAGCACGTGTCAGTGCTTCATTCCTTTCTATGACTGTTTTACATACCACATTTTATCCATTCATCAGTTGGTAGGCACTTTTTGGTTATTAAGAATTGTGTTATTATGAACATTAATGTAAAGACAGATATTTTCTTTGTGGAATTGCTGGGTCCTGTGGTAAATCCATGTTTCACTTTTTGAAAACTACCAAACTTTACTACCATGGCCACAACATTTTATGTTATCAGCAATTTGTGAATTGAAAAATGTGCACATCTTCTACTTGTCCCTGTCGTTTTGATTATAGCTATCCTAGAGAGTGTGAAGTAGTGTTTTCACTTTTCTAATGACTATTGACGGTGAGCATCTTTTCATGTGCTTAATAGCCATTCATGTGTGTGTTTGGAGAAATGTCTATTCAAAACCTTTGCCTATTTTTTTTTTTTTTTGTACTGGGAATCGAACTTGAAGTCTTGTGCTTGCGAGGCAGGTGGTGGCATTACTGAGCTAAGTCTCTGGCCCCCTTTGCCCATTTTAAAAGTTGGATCCTATGTCTTTTTGTTGTCGAGCTGTAAGAGTGTTTTGTATTATCTGGATAATAGACTGTTATTAGATATATGCTTTTCAGATGTGAATTGTATTTACAGAAACAAATGTAGCACTGATACGTGCTACAACATGAATGAACTGTGAAAACGTTATGCTAGGTAAAAGTGACATGTATTGCATGATTCCACTTATTTGAAGTGTTCCAAATAGATTAAATCCATACAAATTGAAAGGAGAGTATTGGTTGTTAGAGGCAGAAGAGGAAGGAATGGAATGACTACTAAAGTCTACAGGATTTGTTTTGGAATGATGAACATGTTCTAAAAATAGTGGTGATGGTTGCACAGTCTTGTGAACATACAGTACTCAAAGCCACATTTTTATACTTAAAGGGTGAGTTTTATAGTATGCAAAATATATCTCAGGTCTGCTGTAAAAGAAATGTGCATTAGTTTTTTTTTTAACCCACTCAGTTTGTGCCATTTTTGAACATTGCTGTGCTATTACATGTAGGCCAAGATGGTGCCAGGGCTTTGAATGTTTATATCATGAGCAAGAAAAGAGAAAACATGATCTACTGTTTCCATGGGGCCCTGCCTGTTTTCCTTTGTGTTGGTGGTATTGATACACTTTCTGTGTGTAAATTTAGATATTTTAAATTTAAATTTTATCTTCATTACTTGTGATAGATCAATCATGAGATGTATTTTTCACCATAATGTCTTTATTTGGTTTGAATTTGGGCCTTTGGACATTTTCTTACCATCATAGAAAGGAAAGTACATGTGCAGTTGGGCAAAATGTTTTGGAGTTTCTATTATGGTTTGACTATTTTTCCCAGAAAGTTAATTTTTGCCTCGAGATAGTGGTGGTGAATTATAGGATTCAATATTAGCATTCAAAACAATACATTTTGTTTGAAGTTTAATTTTTCTTGCCGTTAAGCACTTAACATTTAAAATTTATTTGTATAGCTGGGCGTGGTGGCACCCACCTTTAATCCCAGCACTCGGGAGGCTGAAGCAGGAGGATCTCTGTGAGTTGGAGACCAGTCTGGGCTACATAGCTCCATGTCAGTCTCAAGTACATAGTGAGACCCTGTCTCAAAAAAAACAAAAAAAAGAAAAAAAATTATTTGTATGATGCTTATCATTTTTGTAGATTTTTATTTTACTGTACACTTTGAAACAAATATTGACAACCTTGTCTTATTACCAAATAAAGGCCTCCAAGTACAAAGTAATTTTCTTTGAAAAATTAGATTTTGGGGGTTATTATCTATAATCACTCCTTTCTTGAGTTTTGGTCACTTTTAAGTTCTAGCTGTGTAGAATCATGTAATGCTATTGTGATGGTAGCTTTGGTTCCATAATTCCAGTAGAGATTTGGTCTCCATTTTCTCAGAGTTTATGAACCTTCTTTCTCAACTTGTTTTCTCCCTTTCATCTCTGCCATTCGTCTTCCCCCCTTGCCATACTTCTTCTCTTTTCTTGCCACTAGACTTAAATAGGAGAGGTGGTAAAGTAGCATCTCTTGGTTTTGTTTTGTTACAGTGTGAGCCGTAACCATGACTACTGAAGTTGGCTCCGCATCTGAAGTGAAGAAGGACGCTGACCATTTGGGATCAGGTGCAACCAAGGAGAGAGCTAAAGAGGCAGCAGAAAATCAGCGGGATCAGTTGTCCAGTCAAGAGGAGGAAAAAGGCTCCCAGCCATCTCCTGCAGCTGAAAGCCAAAGTAGACCCAGCCGCCAGAAGCGAGAGAAGGATCCATCTGAGAGTAGAGGGATTTCTCGGTTCATACCCCCATGGCTTAAGAAACAGAAGTCCTATAACTTAATAGTCGCCAAAGATGGAGGAGCTAAAGAAGAGCCTCCCCAAGGTGTTGTGGAAGAGCAAGTCTTAGACAGAGAGGACTCCTTTCTTGAAGAGAGACAGGCCAAGGGCGATGCTGAAGAAACAACCCAGAAGACACACATGGAGGTGAAGGTGGATGTCAAAGAAGACAAGCCTGCAGTCAGCAGCACCGAGACTCAGGTGTGTTCGGGAGCACTGTTTGGGAATGGAGCAGCCACGTAAGGAAAAGGGTCTGTGTGGGTCATTTCTAGCTTTCCCGTATTGACATAACTTCTTTGGCCTGATGTATCTGAATATAGGCCTTGGGTTGACGTGCCTCAGGAGAAGTGCTATCGTTCCTCTAAAAACACATTTCCAAAAATATTGTAGAAAAAAATTCACTATATATACAAACTACACACTGAGAAGGTTCTAAGGGTTCCTGTTAAGGTAAAGTGGATTCTCTCAGACCTTTCATTTTAAAAAGGAGGCCTTTTTATGTTTCTTTGGTTTATTTAAGGATTCAGTACGCATTGAGTATAGATTGTATGCATTTTTGGTTGCCTAGTGAAGCATAGGTTTTTTTTTCCCCATGGTGTGAGATTTTAGTCTGAAATTCTACTATTTGGATGATACTGAAATTGTAGTTATGGGATATAATATCTTTTATTCATTTAGCGCTGACACAACTTGGAAAATTGAGAAAATTGGCAATAGAAGGACGATGAGAGGAGATATTCTTACTAGCATAATTTTCAAGTCTTTTAAAATCTTAAGCTTTCAGTGGTTATAATGGTCATAATTCTGATTTTCCTTTGAGTTGTCTTCTGCAGATTGGTTAACTTTGCCACCATTTTTCCTTGATAGCCTGCTGAAGAGGTGAGGAAGGAGAAAGAAGAGGAAGAAGTTAAGGAAATACAGGAAGACAAATCAGAAGGACAAGCAGCAAAAAGGGAGACCAAGGAAGTGCAGACCAGTGAGCTGAAAGCAGAGAATGCCTCTCAGAAAGCAAGCAAGAAGACCAAAAGTATCCAGTGTAAAGTGGTCCTCCTGGATGGCACTGAGTACAGCTGTGACCTGGAGGTGAGACGGCTGAGCGGAGAGCTGGCCTGATGTGCGGAATGAAAGCAGGGTACATGCAGTCTGTTGCTTGTGGCATGGCGTGATGAATATAAATTTTTTGTTTTACCCAGTTCCTCTATGCTAGCTTGTTGAAATTTTGCATTTAAAACGGCAGCAACAGAGAAGAGGGTTCCCATTTCCATTTCAGACAGTGCTTCCTGACCCTTGGATATGCAGCAGGGATGAGGGGTGATGTTATGTTCTCCCAGTGTGCACTTGCTGGTCATCCGTCCTGGTTTGTGTCTGTTCTGAGTGAACATTAAATAATTTGAATATTGCTTTTGACTGTTGACAAATGGTAATTCTAGGTTGACCTTTCAGAATAATGAAATTTCTGTGGTAGACTTAGAGAGTGACTTAACATCTAGCTCATTTATTTAGTTTCATTTAATTAAAAAACACCTGTGATTTGTAAAACAGATAATTAATTTGCTTTGATGCTGACAGAAGCCAATGAATGTTTTAAAGCATCCAGTACCTTATACTTGTGTTTCAATTAGAATTTGTTGCTTTTCACCATTAAATTACTTGCATGACATACAGTAATAATTAATGTTTACTGAACTGTGTGAAGTGCTTTGAGTGGATTATATCATGTAATACTTATAAGAATCAATTTAAGGTGTTTATGATTATTGGTGTTCCCACTGTTACAGTTAAAAATATAAAGCTCAGAGAAATTAAATAACTTGCCCAGAGTTTGACAGCTGTTGGGGAGGTGCCAGGCTCCCAGCCTTGGCAAGTTAGCTGTAGTGCCCACGAATCTCTCCACCTGACCAGTTTTGTTGGCCATATGTGGAACATATCTTTCCCATTTAAAATATGAGCTGGTTTTTAGTTTTCTGTTAAACCTTAAAAACATACCCCCTTAATTCTTGCATTCTTACTTAAAGTAGAAGTTATACCTCAAACAGTGGAAGCATCCATCTCGGTAAAGAAAGACAGGTCTATCAAGTTGGACTGTAAGTTTGTTTTGTATTTGAATATGTATAATATTGCAGGGTATTGAGGGTACTAAGATGAATAATTCATGGTCCTTGCCTTTGCCTTTTTATTAGCTACGTAGAACTTAAGTGTAATTGCTCTAATTCAGTTGTTTAAAGAAAAGGAGTAGCAAAAAAGGAGTAAAAATCCTCTTCATTTGTTTTTGAAGCTGTGGCAAAATACCTTAGACTTGGTAATTTACAAACACTAGAAATGTATCGCTCACAGCTTTGGAGACAAGTCCAGAATCAAGGGTCAGCAGGTGTGTGTCTGGTGAGGAGCTGCTTGCTGCTTTTGCTGTCAGGATGGGGCCTTCTTGCTTTGTGCTTATGCGGTGGGAGGGGTGAATGCTGGGACCTCTCAGGGTGTGAAGAAGGAAACAGCTCCCTCAGCCTCTTCTGGGAGGCCCAGTCCTGTTCCTGACAATGCACCCTTCCCCTCACGGGTTGCTCGCTTCCTGGGGCCTCTTCTTATTACCGCCACAAGAGGGTTAGGGCTCGCCGTGAGTGTTGAGGGGACATATCCAGACTGTAGCAACCATAAACCTTTCCTTCTGCCCTTCTTAGCACTCCTCTCTGGTCCTTTTGCAGAACTCCCCTTCTTAGGAGGGACTTAGAGGAGGCTGGGGAGTTGGAGAAAGACACTGATTGTGTCTTGGATGAGGGACGAGTTGTTTTGTGAAGTTGATTTAATTACATTGTGTTGGACTGAATGAATGTCCTCTCATCTTTCCTCTCAGTCTTTGAGACCAACGTGGTAACTTGTTTGGTGACCTTGAGTCCGTTCTACCTCTGTGGGCCTACTTTTCTTCATCTGTAAAATACAGGATTACTCAGATGACGTAGAATGCCTGCCCCTTTTATCTCTGAAGTTCTTTATATCCCTAAACCACAAGACTGAATAATGTACTTTGTGGCATAAACCTATTTTTGTTTTCTAATCTTTTTTTACATCATGAAGAATTTAAGCACTACCAAAAAACAAACAGTTGAACCTCATCTAGCATAAAGATTTCAATCAGATATTACCGTTTTGCCTTGTGTTTCAGTTAATTGATGGCCTTTGCATTAAGCTGCATTCTCACCTCTTTCTGCAAATGTTTTGAGACAGTGTCTTGCTAAGTCACTACATTGCCCAGTCTGAGGTTGTGCTTGGTGTCCTCCTGTCTCATGCCCAATTCTTTTTTATCTTTTAATAAAATAAAGCTAAAGTCTTATTCCATCTTTTCATTCTTGGTCTTTTAAGTGTAAATCTACTTGATTCTTTTTAGCTACTATGTTGCATTCACTGAAATGACTAAATTCGTATATTCCCCTACTAGGTGACACTTTCTTTATATGTAATAAAAAAAGTTCTTCTATGGACACAATAGTTCTGGTTCCCTGTTTACTTGTGCATGAGTTTCTTCAGGGTGAATTTCTGTAGGAGGAATTGCTAGGTTGATGGGAATCTGCAGTTTTATTTCCTCAGTTTTTCCAGATACCAGCAAAATAATCACTCCAGTTTACATTCCTACTAGCAATCACATTGTCATCAGTACTTCCTGTGAGAGTTACTAATTTAACGTGTATAAATTAACATCTCAGTTTGCCAAGTTGCACTCTTTGGATCGCTGTCACATGATTATGCTTCAGGAACAAAGAACCTCTGAATCCTCTTGACTTAAAATAAGTGGTTTATTTGTTATCTTGTATGTTTTGATAGTTTGACTGTGACTGTGTCTGTGTTCTACATCATCTTTACTTTTATGCCCGCTTGAAAGAGTTGTCTCTAGTTGGGGCATTCAAATCTCAAGATAGAGGAAAGGGGCAGCATAGTAGAACTACATTCTGGGCCGGAAGTGGTAGGATCACTTTAACTTTCTTTGCATTGACCAGGCCACTCACGTGGTCAAGGTTGAGGACAACACCATGGGCAGGTCTGCATCTCTCATAAGAAGAGGGTGGGGAATCATTGAGAACATGAAAACGGAACGTCACAAGAGATGAGACTGAGTATATGTTTACATTTTAATTTTCTAATTTGCTTATTATTTCTATTTTATTATTATTACTGTTTTGCCCTAGGACTTTTGAAAATAGATATTCTTTCTTAGATTAAGGAAGTTTCTTTCCTAGTTCCTCAGACTTAAGGAAGGGTGGTGAATTTAATTCTATATTTTCTGCTTCAGCTGTCATATGTTTTTTAGTTCTGTTATTTACATAACTAATTTTTAGTATTTTCTAAAGTGAAGCCATCTGAATTTCTAATGTAAATATCATTCATTTGACCACGATAATTCTGTGTTCATTTTGCATTATTTTTATTTAGGATTTTTACAAATACTAACTTTAATTTTAACAGTTCTCTTCATCAGATTTTGTTATCTGTGTTATCCTCATAAAGTTGCTTCCCTCTCATGATTTTTTAGAAAAGCTTTAATAAATGAGGGATTATCTGTTTTTTTTGTAGATTTGGTGGAACTTGCCTTTGAAACTGTCTTGTGGGGGCATTTAAAGGGAATTTTAGGGATGGAGGATAGGTTTACATTAATTGATTCAGTTGCCTTATACTTGTGATCTAGTTCTGCTTTTTCTCGAGTCAGTTTTAACAATTCATGCTTTAGGGGCAAACTGTCCATTTCATCCAACTTGACAAATTTATTAGCATGAGGCTTTTCTAGTATTACTGGCCTTTTTTTTCTTGATTATTCTTACAAATTTATTGTTTTAATTTTTTTCAAAGTAACAGTTATTGTAAATCTACTTGATTTTGTTTTTGTTTATTTCTGTTTATCTTCTATTTTGTAACATTTTCTTTGTGATTATTCTGTTCTTTTTTCAATTTCATGAGTTTAATGCATCTATGGCTCTAATTTTTTCCCTTAAGTACCTTCTATTGACTGCATAAATTTGAATGTTGTGCCTTTAGTTGCCATTCACTTCTTCATATTTTCTCATTCTATTTAGGTTGTTTTTTTTTGGCCCTTGGATTTTTTTTTATAGGTTTAATTAAAAAATTTTAGTCTGTGTGCATTGTGAACATATATACATGCATATGCATGTATTGGGTAGTATTTTCTTTTGTTCAGTCTGGTCAAACTATGGTCTCAATAATAGATTCTGTTGTATTTAGGACTTTGAGACATAATAGTCAGTTTTTTTTTGTTTTTCTTTGTACTGGGGATTGAACTCAAGATCTTGAGCTTGTGAGGCAGGCGGTGGAACCACTGAGCTAAATCCCTGGCCCTATAGTTAGTTTTTGTAGTAGTTCTTTTTGAGTTTGGAAAAACATAATATCTCATTGTTGATACGTATTTCTAGATCTGTCCTCTTTATCAGATATTAGTCACATTTATCAATAAAATCATTGTTTAACTTTAGTTTATCAGTGTTAAACTATAATTAAATTTATATGTGTTAAAATCTATAATTGTTGACTTGATAATTTCTCTTGGTATTCATGTAAACTTATGGTGATTAAAATTGAGGCTGTATTATTAGGTACAGTTGTGTTCAGAATTATATGTTCTTGGATAATTTATATTATATAGTACCTTAAATTTATTTTATTCAATAATGTTATTGTACTAGCTGTGTTTTGGTTAGGCATTGTCTGGACCATCTTTTGCTATTTCATTGCTTGTAGAGATTGTGTCTTTATGTTGTTGAGAGAGACTTGTTTTTTAATCACATTTGAAGGTTCTGTTAACTGGTCACTGTAGGCCATTTCATATGATTACTGAGATGCAGGACTATATTCTGCCAAGTTTGGGTTACTTCTTTAATTCACCAATAAATGCCTATATTTTTATGTTTATTAATGTGCCATTATAAGAATGAACTTTTGAGGGCAGTAAATGATGAATAAACTGTGTAGCTTTTGTATTGAATCAACTCATTTTTCCTCTCCATTACAAAGCAAAGCAGAAATTATAAGTTATTTTGCTTTTTGAAATTAATCTCCCTGTTATCAAAGTTCCCTTCCCATTTTGGCTC